TCTATAGTCTAGTCTATAGTCTAGTCTACAGTCTAGTCTATAGTCTAGTCTATAGTCTAGTCTATAGTATAGTCTATTGTCTAGTCTATAGTCTAGTCTACAGTCTAGTCTATAGTCTAGTCTGTAGTCTAGTCTATAGTCTAGTCTATAGTCTAGTCTATAGTCTAGTCTATAGTCTAGTCTATAGTCTAGTCTATAGTCTAGTCTATAGTCTAGTCTATAGTCTAGTCTATAGTCCAGAAAGAAAGAGAACTAGTTAAGAACCTAGTCATTAGACTAGTTAATAGAATTACCATCCCCCGTTTTTGAGAGCTTTTTCCCTTTTTTCCATCCGAAAAACACTATAAATTAATTCCAAAATCTTCTAAAAACCCTTCATTTAAAAAAGAGCTACAGTTTAACATTTTGCCAAAACAAATTATAATTTTTGTAATGACTAATTAAATATTTACAACTGAATCCATGAATCTTGATGTTCGGTACTTATTTTCAATTACAAAAACATAAATTAAATATTTTTTGAAGGATCAAAAAGTAAATGATAATTATCTGTAATTATAACTATTGTTACAGAAAAACACTCGTAAGTGTGTAAGTCTATGTTTGTTGTAAAAACTTATAGACAAACATACATAAAATGACAATTACAAGTCATTATTTTTCATGTAAATCTTGTCAATCCGTTTTAATTAAATTGTGCCACTTAAGGACCACTTTTCTTAAAAACCACCCACACCTAACCAACCGAGCAAGCAAACCCCACTATTGACTCAAGTATTTGTTTAGGTTGACTATCCCCTACCCTTTTCATAAGATTTCTTTCTTTTCTTTGTCTCATTCATTTATTCATTCCCTTTCATTTTGTCCTTTTCCGCTAAACAAACAGATTTTAACAATTCAATGGCCATTCGCTTTAAGTAGTCATTCGAAAAAAGCAAAACTTTTCTATGAAATGAAAATACAGAAATGGTGCCACATCTTAAGGAAAATTTCTTCAAGAATACTTCAATTATACAATTTAAAAGGAAACGCTAATAGCAAGAGAAACATGGCAACAAACCTCCCTGAAGCTAAGGAATTTCTTTTTTTTGTTGTTATTGCTCATAATAAAGATTCACTAGAGGATTGCTGTGGATGAGCAGCAGCAACAAAAAGGTAAGAAAAGGTGACTTTACAAGACCTCTTAAGCATGAATTTATGTTACAACGGAAATTAGTGCCTAAACGTTTGTCAACAAAGTTTTTCATTAGACCTAAAGAAAGCAAAAGGGCTGGATGGGGGTGGCCAAAGGTGAAATATATTTCGTAGACAAATTAGAGATGATGAAGTGACAAGTTGATTATATTTAGTGAATACACTCGACTAGTCCCAAGACTAGTCCATACACCAGTTCCTAGCTGAATTCATAAAAGAGTCCATAGATTAGTCCAAAGATTAGTTTAATACACTTTCAACTTTTAGACTAACACCTTGACAAGTCCATAGACTAGTATCTAGACTGTGGCATATACTAGTTGATAGTCTTCCCTATAGACTAGTCCATAGACTAGTCTATAATCTAGAGTACATAATTTAGTTCAATTACGCTGAATATAACTCCAAAATTGCTAACACTTTGTCTACCACTCACGTTCTCATCACTACATCCTTCCTACAACTAAAATAAAATACAGTTAAATGCTGTTAAATAAAGGACATGACAACAACAAAAAGAAAAAACTTTTTACAGCCTTTCTATATATATGTATATAAAATGGAGGCAGTTGTCGAGAGGTTAAATGTGAAATTTAAATCTGCGACGTATTTTTAATTTAATCACAAAGAGGATTTTCAATAAATTTAAAACAAACTTTACCAAGGAATTCTCCATTACTAGACCCAAAAAAAAGACAAGCCAAGATATTTAATATTAAAGAAAAGCAAACCTACCTACCTTCCTAACTCCCACCCTCCCTCACCACCTATTCACCGTTATTCAAAACACTTCCAACCCGTCAATGTTATAAACATTTGTTTAAATGTCAGGGGAAAAATGTTTAGCGACAGGTGCTTGTAATATTCATATGGAGTGTGGAAAACATTTTATTTAATTTATATCATCGTTGTTATTATGTTTGGTCGGTAGATCCTATTTAGACGGAATCATTCTGTTGAAACATAAAAATTTAGGTTTTTATTTCAGGGACATATCATTAAGAAGGTGGAAAATGTGTACTTTAGTTGGAATATCATTTAATACTTGCTGACTTGTTGGAAGCAGATGTGTTTAAATGGATGTAATTCGAATACACAGGAACATAATGAAGCTGACGCACCGAATTGGAGAAGTTTCGGTAGAATTTATCTAACAGAAAGTTTTTGCGTGCGCCCGCGGTAGGTAGTGTCAGTCAGGAGGGCTTGGGTTTGATTCTCGCCAAAGACAAACAAACTAACTAACAAAGCAACCGATGAACCAAGCTCCCTACGGACCAAGAACGTAAGGAAATCCACCGAACCAATGTGCAACCAACCAAACAAGCAAACATCAAACCAAAGATCGAACTAACCAATCAACTAACCAACAAAGCAACCAAACAACGAACAACCAAGCAACGAACCACCAACCATCGAACCTACGAACCAACGACTTACGAACCAACTAACCAACCAACCTACTACTAACAATAAAGGAACCAAGCAAGGAATCATCGAACCTACCAATCAAGCAACCAACCAGCCAACAAAACCAACCACCAAGGAACCAACCCAGCAACTACCTAACTAACTAACTAACTAACTAACTAACTAACTAACTAACTAACTAACTAACTAACTACTAACTAACTAACTAACTAACTAACTAACCTAACTAACTAACTAACTAACTAACTAACTAACTAACTAACTAACTAACTAACTAACTAACTAACTAACTACTAACTAACTAACTAACTAACTAACTAACTAACTACTAACTAACTAACTAACTAACTAACTAACTAACTACTAACTAACTAACTAACTAACTAACTAACTAACTAACTAACTAACTAACTAACTAACTAACTAACTAACTAACTACTAACTAACTAACTAACTAACTAACTAACTAACTAACTAACTAACTAACTAACTAACTAACTAACTAACTAACTAACTAACTAACTACTAACTAACTAACTAACTAACTAACTAACTAACTAACTAACTAACTAACTACTAACTAACTAACTAACTAACTAACTAACTAACTAACTAACTAACTAACTAACTAACTAACTAACTAACTAACTAACTAACTAACTAACTAACTAACTAACTAACTAACTAACTAACTAACTAACTAACTACTAACTAACTAACTAACTAACTACTAACTAACTAACTAACTAACTAACTAACTAACTAACTAACTACTAACTAACTAACTAACTAACTAACTAACTAACTAACTAACTAACTAACTAACTAACTAACTAACTAACTAACTAACTAACTAACTAACTAACTAACTAACTAACTACTAACTAACTAACTAACTAACTAACTAACTAACTACTAACTAACTAACTAACTAACTAACTAACTAACTAACTAACTAACTAACTAACTAACTACTACTACTAACTAACTACTAACTAACTAACTAACTAACTAACTAACTAACTAACTAACTAACTAACTAACTAACTAACTAACTAACTAACTAACTAACTAACTAACTACTAACTAACTAACTAACTACTAACTAACTAACTAACTAACTAACTAACTAACTAACTAACTAACTACTAACTAACTAACTAACTAACTAACTAACTAACTAACTAACTAACTAACTAACTAACTAACTAACTAACTACTAACTAACTAACTAACTAACTAACTAACTAACTAACTAACTAACTAACTAACTAACTAACTAACTAACTAACTAACTAACTAACTAACTAACTAACTAACTAACTAACTACTAACTAACTAACTAACTAACTAACTAACTACTAACTAACTAACTAACTAACTAACTAACTAACTAACTAACTAACTAACTAACTAACTAACTAACTACTAACTAACTAACTAACTAACTAACTAACTAACTAACTACTAACTAACTAACTAACTAACTAACTAACTAACTAACTAACTAACTAACTAACTAACTAACTACTAACTAACTAACTAACTAACTAACTAACTAACTAACTAACTAACTAACTAACTACTAACTAACTAACTAACTAACTAACTAACTAACTAACTTTTGGTGTGATTTCACAGATTTCCCCAATTGGAGCTTTTTTAATTAAATTGATTTTTGGTGGGAAGTATAACTTATCACAGATTTTCTCCATTTTCTCAATTGGAGCATTATTTAAGGATCTAGTACCGTCTTGAAGGTTTTGTTTGAAAAATCGATTTTTGGAAAATATTAGTGATTACTGGTTTTATCAATTGATTTCTAAGTTTTGAATACGTTTCTTAATTTGTTTTAAGAAAAGTTGCTGAGAAAGAAGTTCTGCCTCACCTGACAGCCCAGAAAACATATAAAAATCTACAATCATAACATCCTTTAAATTAAATATTCCCTCTATCTTATTGGCTATTCTTGAACATCCTGCCGAAGCTTTTGCACAACTCACTCTTAATATTGAAACAAAAATTTCATACTATTTCAGTAAAACTATTAAAGCAAGCTGAAAAAGGTGAAAATATGAAAAAATAATCAAAAATGGCTGCCACTAACTAACAATGCAAAGCACAGAAAACATTGAAAACCTTTAAACCATTAACATAAAACTAAATTGTATAAATGTTGCAAACACAACCAAAACCCTCAAACTCCTAAAAAATTTTGTTTATAGCAACATGGAGGCCGCAGATGGTTGTTGGGCAACTACGAAACGAAAAGTGGTGAAATCCACAAAATCGAAATAAGAAAAACAAATTAGTTGCAGCAATTAGTTGGCAAAGAAATGACTATAGAATCATAAAAGAGCCAATCGTTTGAAAGAAACATGGAAAACGATAAATTGGCTGAAATCAATCATAAAATTGCTGAAATTAAGAAACGTATACTGCTGGCAGGTAAGTAATTGAATAAACATTCCACAACTGCAACAATTTTTCAGGACTTAGATAAAATCAATTCAATTACTATCGACTTTATTAACAAATTCCAAACATTTTTTTTATTCGTTTGCCTTTAGAAGGCCAAAAGACAGCCAATACAGCAGAATGGCAGAAACAGAATCGTATCAATTGTGATACAATTGCATCCTTGAAAAAGGATATAAAAGAACTTACAACAAAATGTGGTCGTCTGCGAAATCCTTTGCAACGACCCGTACTCATCAAAGAAAATCCAGCAGTTGCTGGTTCTGTGGCAACAGCTCCTTTAGAAAAGCGCAAAACGAGTGCTGCTGCTACTGCTCTGCCCACAATAGTTGTGGGCAAAGTAAATTATCCCATTGGCGCCAAAAATGCTGAAGATGCTATTTTCCTTACAGACTTGAAAATAACGGAAAATCGCAAACAGTTGGATTTATTAAGGCATCGTTTCAAGTGTCGAAAACAACACTTTGCTAAACTAATGGAACAGTATCGTGAATTGCTGGCTAATAAAGAGGCTCAAGAACAGAATTTAGGTGAAAAACCACCAGAGACATTGGAAGAGGATAATAATCGTAAGGTAAAGGCAACCGTACTTGAATATAAATATACATATAGTGTAAGAATGTTGCAGCTTTCATTTTATACATTTTCAGTTGGTTTGCCAATTGGAAAATCAAATTCATCGCACCAATGTTCAATGGATGGAAGCTGAACATATACGTAAGAAATATCGCTCCATTGAGGCTTCTTTGATGAACGATGCCGAACGTTTCGAAAGAAGTTTAAAGGAATTAGAGGTGGCTTTAAATGAACAGCAACAGGAAATAAATCGACTACAGGTGAAGTAATACTTCAATTGTTTGCATATAAATTAGTTGGAAATTTATAGTGGTAGATTCCTTATTGAGTTTTAAGTAATGAAGTGTTGGTAAAATGAGGGATTACGTTTCTATTTTTGAAATTTCTAGTTTTTAAATTAATAATTCTAGTTCAGTTCTAGTTCAGTTCTAATTCAGTTCTAATTCAGTTCTAATTCAGTTCTAATTCAGTTCTAGTTCAGTTCTAGTTCAGTTCTAGTTCAGTTCTAGTTCAGTTCTAGTTCAGTTCTAGTTCAGTTCTAGTTCAGTTCTAGTTCAGTTCTAGTTCAGTTCTAGTTCAGTTCTAGTTCAGTTCTAGTTCAGTTCTAGTTCAGTCTAGTTCAGTTCTAGTTCAGTTTCTAGTTCAGTTCTAGTTCAGTTCTAGTCAGTTCTAGTTCAGTTCTAGTTCAGTTCTAGTTCAGTTCTAGTTCAGTTCTAGTTCAGTTTCTAGTTCAGTTCTAGTTCAAGTTCTAGTTCTAGGTTCTAGTTCAGTTCTAGTTCAGTTCTAGTTCAGTTCTAGTTCAGTTCTAGTTCAGTTCTAGTTCAGTTCTAGTTCAGTTCTAGTTCAGTTCTAGTTCAGTTACTAGTTCAGTTCTTCAGGGCATTCAGTTCTAGTTCAGTTCTAGTTCAGTTCTAGTTCCGTAGTTCATCTAGTTCAGTTCTAGTTCAGTTCTAGTTCAGTTCTAGTTCAGTTTCTAGTTCAGTTCTAGTTCAGTTCTAGTTCAGTACTAGTTCAGTTCTAGTTTCAGTTCCATAGTTCAGTTTCTAGTTCAGTTCTAAGTTCCAGTTTCGTAGTTCTATGTTCTAGTTCAGTTCTAAGTTCAGTTCCTAGTTCAGTTTCAGTAGTTCAGTTCTAGTTTTCGAGTTTCTAGTTCAGTTCTAGTTCAGTTCTAGTTCAGTTCTAGTTCAGTTCTAGTTCAGTTCTAGTTCAGTTCTAGTTCAGTTCTAGTTCAGTTCTAGTTCAGTTTCTAGTTCAGTTCTAGTTCAGTTCTAGTTCAGTTCTAGTTCAGTTCTAGTTCAGTTCTAGTTCAGTTCTAGTTCAGTTCAGTTCAGTTCTAGTTCAGTTCTAGTTCAGTTCTAGTTCAGTTCTAGTTCAGTTCTAGTTCAGTTCTAGTTCAGTTCTAGTTCAGTTCTAGTTCAGTTCTAGTTCAGTTCTAGTTCAGTTCTAGTTCAGTTCTAGTTCAGTTCTAGTTCAGTTCTAGTTCAGTTCTAGTTCAGTTCTAGTTCGTTCTAGTTCAGTTCTAGTTCAGTTTCTAGTTCAGTTCTAGTTCAGTTCTAGTTCAGTTCTAGTTCAGTTCTAGTTCAGTTCTAGTTCAGTTCTAGTTCAGTTCTAGTTCAGTTCTAGTTCAGTTCTAGTTCAGTTCTAGTTCAGTTCTAGTTCAGTTCTAGTTCAGTTCTAGTTCTAGTTCAGTTCTAGTTCAGTTCTAGTTCAGTTCTAGTTCAGTTCTAGTTCAGTTCTAGTTCAGTTCTAGTTCAGTTCTAGTTCAGTTCTAGTTCAGTTCTAGTTCAGTTCTAGTCAGTTTCTAGTTCAGTTCTAGTTCAGTTCTAGTTCAGTTCTAGTTCAGTTCTAGTTCAGTTCTAGTTCGTTCTAGTTCAGTTCTAGTCAGTTCTAGTTCAGTTCTAGTTCAGTCTAGTTCAGTTCTGTTAGTTCAGTTCTAGTTCAGTTTCTAGTTCAGTTCTAGTTCAGTTCTAGTCAGTTCTAGTTCAGTTTCTAGTTCAGTTCTAGTTCAGTTCTAGTTCATGTTCTAGTTCAGTTCTAGTTCAGTTCTAGTTCAGTTCTAGTTCAGTTCTAGTTCAGTTCTAGTTCTAGTAGTCAGTTCTAGTTCAGTTTCTAGTTCAGTTCTAGTTCAGTTAGTCAGTTCAGGTTTCTAGTTCAGTTTAGTCAGTAGTTCAGTTCAGTTCTAGTTCAGTTCTAGTTCAGTTCTAGTTCAGTTCTAGTTCAGTTCTAGTTCAGTTCTAGTTCAGTTCTAGTTCAGTTCTAGTTCAGTTCTAGTTCAGTTCTAGTTCAGTTCTAGTTCAGTTCTAGTTCAGTTCTAGTTCAGTTCTAGTTCAGTAGTTCAGTTCTAGTTCAGTTCTAGTTCAGTTCTAGTTCAGTTCTAGTTCAGTTCTAGTTCAGTTCTGATTAATTTCATTGAGAGTTATAAATTTTATTCCCAGCAAGTCCACAATGAAGCCATTGAAATGCGTGACTCAGCCAAGGTTATTCTACTGCGGCAGGAGCAACAAGCCAACCTCTCGCAAAAGACACGCGAGCGTCAAGCCATGGAATTTCGCAAACTCGTCGAACAACGTAAACTGGAATTGGAGAGAATCGGCCGTAAACTTTTCTTTGAAGGTAAGACATTACATCACCAAGACAGTATTGGTTCTAGTACAGGAGATCAACACACCGGCAAGACTGAAGCCGATGAAGATGAAAATTCCCAATTAAAAAATGTCACCAGTGATATGGAGGATTTATTTAAAAATCTTATGGAAGTTACCGGTGCTACGTCACCGCATGAAGTTTTCGAAAGATTTTCTTCGCAAAAGGAGTCAGCAATGCGTTTGAATTATCTCCGCACCGCCGCTGAAGCGGAAAAAGGTAGTTTGGAATGTTTGAGGGAGGCTTTGACTAAAGAGCTAGAGTCGTCTAAGTTTACCGATGTCAAGGAGAGAGAAGTGTAGGTGAACTTTCAATTTTAAGAACTAATATAAAAAGTATTTTCTGATTTCAGTAATCAAGAGGTTATTGAAAGAATAAAATCACAAATAGCCGAATATGAGGCAGAGAGACAAAAGAACTTGGAAGCAGCAGAAAAGTCTTTGGAAGTATTAAAATTCATTAAGGAAAGGTTATGTGAAATGATTTATAAGCTGCAGGAGGTAGACGAAAACAATGTGGAATTAAAAGAAAAAGACATGACCATTAAAGTGGCAGAGTTGCCAGATTTTTTAGTTAATAAAGCAGAGGATTTAGATATGATTATGGTAAGAGTAATATAAATAAGTTAGAAGCAATTATTTATAGCTACTTTGCACTAACATTTAGATACTCAAGCTAAAATTGGAGAAATGCCAAGAGTTAAGTAAACCACAACAACAATCAATAGAAAAGTTAGATTTGGATATAAGCGTAAGTTTTCAAATTTAATAGTACAATTAGCTAAGATTTAAATATGATTTTCCCTCTAGGAAGAAGAATTTATGTCTTCGTTGCAACCACCCAAGCCACCAACAGGTCAAGAAGGTGAAAAACCAGCTGCTATGCCAATGTGTTATTATAATTTACTGGCTGGACGAGCACAAAGAGCTGCAGGCACTTCTTCGTCATCACCTGAACAAGCACCGGCAGCAGGTAAATCATAAACATTTAACTAACAAGCTAATCGATAAACAATTTGTATAAAAACACCCACCTCCTCCTTGTCTATCTTACTTTAGCTACGGCAGCTAATGAGGAAGAAAGTGAAGTACCCTCACGTAACTATTTGAAACGTCAGTCTGTACTAATAGTTGATCAAAAGTCTCGTAGGAAACCTTTTAGACCGGCACCAGCAGCTCGAAGGAAATAAAATCTTAATTAAGCCTAAATGTATGACATTAAATAAAGTTTAATTTTCGTTCTTTTTTTTTACTACATATTGAAATAAATGTCTGATATCAGGGATGGGAAATTAAAATTGTGTAGTATAGGAACTAGACGTTTATGGATTCGACTTGTGATGAGTTTATTAGTCTAGTGTCTTGGTTAGACTCTTGTTTAGTCTATGAACTAGTCTATTGTCTGATGCAATGACAAGTCTTAGAACTAGGCTATAGTCTATGGACTATTCATTTGACTACTCTATTGACAGGCCTATTGGTTGCTCTAATGACGAGCTTATTAGTTCAGTGTCTTGGTTAGACTCTTGATCAGTCTATGGATTAGACTATTGTCTGATGCAATGACTAGTCTTAGAACTAGGATATAAGCTTCTATGGAGTACTAAATTGACTACTATATTGACAGGCTTATTGACTGCTCCATGGACTAGTCTATTGACTGGTCTACGGACTACGACTTAGAATTAGTCTATAGTCTATGGGCTATTCAATTGACTACTCTATTGACTGCTCTAATAACGAGCTTATTAGTCTAGTGTCTTGGTTAGACTCTTGATCAGTCTATGGAATAGTCTATTGTCTGATGCAATGACTAGTCTTAGAACTACGCTATAGTATATGGAGTATTAAACTGACTGCTCTATTGACAGGCTTATTGACTGCTCTATGATCTAGTTTATTGACTTGTATATGAACTAGTCTATGGACTAATATATGGAATAGTCTATGGACAAGTATGTTTGTTGACTGTTATACTATCTTGTCTATGAACTATGGATTAGACTATGGACTTATCTATTGACTAGCCAATGGACTAGCTTTGAACCTGTCTATAGTTTAGTCTAGTCTAATTATTGCTCTATTGATTAGTATTTGGACTAGTTGTATGACTAGTATATTGTCTAGCATAAGGACTAGCATATCGAATAGTAAATGAACAGGTCTATTGACTATACCATGGAATGGTGTGTTGACATAGACTTGTGTATTTGCTAAACTCTGGTCTAGTCGATCTGTGAAATAGTTTCTTGACTAGTCAATTGACTTGCCTATGGACTAGTCATTCGACTAATCTATCAACTAGTTCATATATATTGACAAGACTTTTGACTAATCTGGCTATTGACTAGTCCATGAACTAGTCTATGGACTATGCTATTGGCTAGTCTATTGACTTGTTTAAAAATTAGTCAACTTACCAGTATATGGACTAATCTATTGTCCAGTCTATGAACTAGACTATAATCTATAGACTATTCTCTTGCCTTAACTATTGACAAGTTTATGAATAGTTTTGCTTTACTAGTCTATGTGCTAATATATCGTGTTGAAACTAAGGTCTTTGTCAAAACGTGCTGATTGTATCGAATTGTTCCAACCCTGTTTTCCATTGAAAAATTTGCCTATAAACTCCTACAAGAGAAGTTATAGAGTATTAATTAAAAATACTTTTAATTCTTGATATGCATATACTTGTTCCTTTTATTAACTCATGTCTTATTAATTAAAAGCTTTTGGCATTGACCATCAGTTTCGACCACACCACCATACAGCTGTATTACATTAGTATGATATTAAGAGATGGCCAGTAGTCTATGTCTATGTGTTGGTAAAAGAAATTGCAAGCAGCATGTTTGTTACATTTTGCTTAAAAGTATGCTTTAACATTTTAATTCCTTTCCAAACCACAGATTTTTTGGGTTTTCGTATTACTTGTTTTTTTTTTTTTTTTTGTTTATATTCAATTGAATATTTTCAAGTTGTGTCTTTTCATTTACGAGTATTTCCTCAACTCAGTATCTGTTCTGTCTGTCTGTCTGTTTTTTTTTTCCTTTTTCATGTTGACCATTGAATTGAAATTTTTGTTGCCATATTCTCTTAGCAAATACAACCAGCACTTGTCATGGCACTTGCAAGCACTTATGTCATCATCATCAACATCATCGTCGTCATCGGCATCCCGATCATTGAAGGCAGCCAAACAAATGACGCTGGGATTGCCACTAATGATGATATCAACAAATATGCCCCTGACATTATGCAAGCATTCAAACAAACAGAAATACTGACAGAAATATGGAGGAGTAAAGGCAAAAAAAAGTAAAAAACTTTCCGAAAATGTAAATGGCAAAATGAACAGGGAGGAGAAGATGTTATGATATGTTTGTGTGTATTAAATGATTTCAAGGATTCATTGTTGGCATATTCTACAGTTATATTTATCATTTTCATGCTTTTATTAGGGGTAAACATAAATTGTTGGTGGAGGAAATATTTTAAATATTTAAGAAAGGTACTTTTAGACTTGAATTTAGGACGAATTATGTGCTTGTGTCTATTCTTAAACAGGATTATTTCACAAAGTCTTCAATAGAATCAATTAGCTTCGCTCTATGACTATTTCTACTACATAAAATCGTCTCATGGCCATAGATCGAATAACATTCAAACCTTTAGCTAATTGAGATCACAAATTAATGGACACTAATACCTATTATAATAGCCTCCAGATGAGAAGCATAAAACAAGATAATCAGATAAAAAATATAATCCCATACAAATCCTAATAAAAAAACAAAATATTTCAATTACCTAGATTAAATTTAATATTAAATGTTCCAAATACTTAAAGTTAAACCGAATATGCAACAGAAATAATGTTAAAAATCAAATAAAATACTTTTAATGTAAGTTGCATTTTGCATGTTTTTAACGTACTTGTTAAGAGTAAAATAAGCAACAGTCGTCAAATACATACTTGTTCGCATCTTCAAAGGACAACAACACGTAATAAAAAATTAAACAAATTCTAGAAAATTTAAGGGAAATCTCAAAAGTCTTTAATAAAATAAATTGAAACGATAAAATAAAGTGAAACGAAAACCCTGGAAAACCAGGGGTCTATAGTCTAGTCTATAGTCTAGTCTATAGTCTAGTCTATAGTCTAGTCTATAGTCTAGTCTATAGTCTAGTCTATAGTCTAGTCTATAGTCTAGTCTATAGTCTAGTCTATAGTCTAGTCTATAGTCTAGTCTATAGTCTAGTCTATAGTCTAGTCTATAGTCTAGTCTATAGTCTAGTCTATAGTCTAGTCTATAGTCTAGTCTATAGTCTAGTCTATAGTCTAGTCTATAGTCTAGTCTATAGTCTAGTCTATAGTCTAGTCTATAGTCTAGTCTATAGTCTAGTCTATAGTCTAGTCTATAGTCTAGTCTATAGTCTAGTCTATAGTCTAGTCTATAGTCTAGTCTATAGTCTAGTCTATAGTCTAGTCTATAGTCTAGTCTATAGTCTAGTCTATAGTCTAGTCTATAGTCTAGTCTATAGTCTAGTCTATAGTCTAGTCTATAGTCTAGTCTATAGTCTAGTCTATAGTCTAGTCTAGTCTATAGTCTAGTCTATAGTCTAGTCTATAGTCTAGTCTATAGTCTAGTCTATAGTCTAGTCTATAGTCTAGTCTATAGTCTAGTCTATAGTCTAGTCTATAGTCTAGTCTATAGTCTAGTCTATAGTCTAGTCTATAGTCTAGTCTATAGTCTAGTCTAGTCTAGTCTATAGTCTAGTCTATAGTCTAGTCTATAGTCTAGTCTATAGTCTAGTCTATAGTCTAGTCTATAGTCTAGTCTATAGTCTAGTCTATAGTCTAGTCTATAGTCTAGTCTATAGTCTAGTCTATAGTCTAGTCTATAGTCTAGTCTATAGTCTAGTCTATAGTCTAGTCTCTAGTCTAGTCTATAGTTAGTCTATAGTCTAGTCTATAGTCTAGTCTATAGTCGTCTAGTCTATAGTCTAGTCTATAGTCTAGTCTATAGTCTAGTCTATAGTCTAGTCTATAGTCTAGTCTATAGTCTAGTCTATAGTCTAGTCTATAGTCTAGTCTATAGTCTAGTCTATAGTCTAGTCTATAGTCTAGTCTATAGTCTAGTCTATAGTCTAGTCTATAGTCTAGTCTATAGTCTAGTCTATAGTCTAGTCTATAGTCTAGTCTATAGTCTAGTCTATAGTCTAGTCTATAGTCTAGTCTATAGTCTAGTCTATAGTCTAGTCTATAGTCTAGTCTATAGTCTAGTCTATAGTCTAGTCTATAGTCTAGTCTATAGTCTAGTCTATAGTCTAGTCTATAGTCTAGTCTATAGTCTAGTCTATAGTCTAGTCTATAGTCTAGTCTATAGTCTAGTCTATAGTCTAGTCTATAGTCTAGTCTATAGTCTAGTCTATAGTCTAGTCTATAGTCTAGTCTATAGTCTAGTCTATAGTCTAGTCTATAGTCTAGTCTATAGTCTAGTCTATAGTCTAGTCTATAGTCTAGTCTATAGTCTAGTCTATAGTCTAGTCTATAGTCTAGTCTATAGTCTAGTCTATAGTCTAGTCTATAGTCTAGTCTATAGTCTAGTCTATAGTCTAGTCTATAGTCTAGTCTAGTCTATAGTCTAGTCTATAGTCTAGTCTATAGTCTAGTCTATAGTCTAGTCTATAGTCTAGTCTATAGTCTAGTCTATAGTCTAGTCTATAGTCTAGTCTATAGTCTAGTCTATAGTCTAGTCTATAGTCTAGTCTATAGTCTAGTCTATAGTCTAGTCTATAGTCTAGTCTATAGTCTAGTCTATAGTCTAGTCTATAGTCTAGTCTATAGTCTAGTCTATAGTCTAGTCTATAGTCTAGTCTATAGTCTAGTCTATAGTCTAGTCTATAGTCTAGTCTATAGTCTAGTCTATAGTCTAGTCTATAGTCTAGTCTATAGTCTAGTCTATAGTCTAGTCTATAGTCTAGTCTATAGTCTAGTCTATAGTCTAGTCTATAGTCTAGTCTATAGTCTAGTCTATAGTCTAGTCTATAGTCTAGTCTATAGTCTAGTCTATAGTCTAGTCTATAGTCTAGTCTATAGTCTAGTCTATAGTCTAGTCTATAGTCTAGTCTATAGTCTAGTCTATAGTCTAGTCTATAGTCTAGTCTATAGTCTAGTCTATAG